CAATACATAGTATAAAACAAAGTCGCTTTCGCTGTATGTCCGTATGTATGCTTAGATCTTTAAAACTACGCAACGGATTTTGATGCAGTTTTTTTTAATAGATAGAGTGATTCTTAAGGAAGGTTTGTATGTATAATACATGCATATTGCACCCGTGCGAAGCCGGGGCGGGTCGCTAGTTATTTTATAAAAAAACGAATTCTTACTGTTGGATATTTATTATCTGTGGCATACTGGCCACTTCTAAGTACATACCTAAGACGGAATACGAAATAATAATTATCAATACATAGTATAAAACAAAGTCGCTTTCGCTGTATGTCCGTATGTATGCTTAGATCTTTAAAACTACGCAACGGATTTTGATGCAGTTTTTTTTTAATAGATAGAGTGATTCTTAAGGAAGGTTTGTATGTATAATACATCCATATTGCACCCGTGCGAAGCCGGGGCGGGTCGCTAGTTATTTTATAAAAAAACGAATTCTTACTGTTGGATATTTATTATCTGTGGCATACTGGCCACTTCTAAGTACCTAAAGACGGAATACGAAATAATAATTATTTTGTTCTTATAAAATATACTCAGTGTGCTTCTGACTAACTCGTTTTATTCGCGCGCATAATTTATTTCTGCCAAATAGAAATATAAAAATAAATAAAAACTATATCTACATTACATATAATAAAATCGTAAGAAATTGAAAAATATACATCGAATATTTTTTTAAAGAATGCTTAGGACGTGGTCTACACTCGATACCGAAACCAAAAATATTAGAATTTTTGTCTGTTTGTCTGTATGTGTGTCCGGGTTAAACTCCAAAAGTACTATATGGATTTACTTCATATTTTGCATGAATATACTAACAGGTCGGTTCAACATATAGGGTACATATTATCGCGCTATCATTTACGGGGGAGGATCTGTGAATCACTATTCCACTCGGACAAAGTCGCACGTATAGCTAGTCCTCCCAAAAATTCAAAACAAACAGTATAGTTCCAATACAACTCCATAACTTTCTGTAACTCAAAGTGTACAATTATAAAGATTTCTGTAACTCCCAATGGGAGGCAATGTTACAATACCATAATGTGGATACCTACATATAATATTGCCTAAGCAAAGCGTACCATTGTTACCCATTTTCCATAATTACAATAAAACTTTGAATATTTAGATGCTGCCCTTCCAATTTTCGTATTCATGAAAATACATATTTTAAAAAAAAAGTATAAGTTTTTAATGCTCGTAGACTCGTACCATAGAGAATTGGCCGGTTTTGTTATGATATTTTCTTTAGTTTTTTTAACTTTTCAGCTACTGATTTTGAAATAATGCAACATTATTCCGTGGTTTTATTATTTCCTGATTATTTTATTTGTTTCATTTACTATATTTTATGACAAATACATATAAAAAAATAATTAGTAGGTATTAGGTAATTGTGATGATGACGGGGTATGAAAATTAAAAGACTAATTAGTCCGTAAGTTATGTATTGAAAATATTAGACACGTATTTTTCATTTTGTTGTATAATAAAATAATACTTAGATAAAACGAACCAAAGTTAGCGAGTGGGGACTAAAACGTCATTTCTACGTATAAAATGTAACATAGAAGTGACGTCACGTGGCATTTCAAAACAATATATCGTCGAAAGTATTCGTTTCTATAAGAAAATTAAAAATACGTGTCTAATGGCAACAAGTCGCAATTCCTTTAAATTTAAAGTCCGTGAGCATTTACTTAAGCATTGGCAGACTCAAAACAATTGAGGAAACTATTCTGACAACGTTTTTTTTTTTTTATATATATATATATATAATATATTGTAGTATTTATGCAGTAGGTATAAGTATTTGTTTAGTAGTATGTATTATATGGTATGTATATGTCCTATACTGATTTATAAAATATTATATTAATATATTTATTCTATAGGTTATTTATGTGTGTAGTATACATATTACATAACTCTTTTTTATTTTCTCAATTGTGTTCTGGCTTCGCATCAACCACTTCATTTCTCTGCACTTCCCTATGGTTGACTGTAAGAGAATGCCTTAAGGCATTAAGTCCGCCATTCACTTATGTATTTGTGAAGAAGAAATAAATAAATAAATAAATAAATAAATAATGATTTAAAATAATCTACCAGACGGACGTTAAAATAAAAATTAGGCATCTACCCTATTGTGTAGTGACACAGCTTTCTCTCATCTATATATATTAGGTCAATGATCAGATATTGTATCAATGAGACTGTAAAAATTATTTTTTAAAGAGTAGCGTTGGAGTTTCTTGCTCGATCTTCTCCATTCGAAACTACACTTCGGAACGAGCGCCTAGCTTCACTGACAAACAGACGGACAGACAATTAAATTTTGACGTTTTAAAAGTTCCTAATTGAGAATTAATTGAAATAAATGCTATGACTTTGACTTTAACATTTTATAAGTGAAACACAATTGATTAGTGTACCCTAACAAATATCCACGTAGATAATAATATATATAAGATAAACAATAAGACATTAAATATAGAACAAGTCAAGATTACAGACTTAGATAGACTATCTAGTTTCCTTGCCCAACGTATCCAGGATCCAATTCAATCTAGACTCAAATATTTGCATAACCTACAATCTCAGTTCGAATCACATCGTTTGTGTGAGGTCTGTGTCTTAGTGTTTACACGACAGTATGGTTCATGTAGTCACATTTTTAAATGACATTTTTATTAACGTCTCGAAAACAAGCTGTAGACTTTTTCCAAAAGGTTAACCTTTTGGAAAAAGCCTTTAAAAAAAAAAAAAAGAAAGATTTTTATGTATTTCAACTGTAACAAAAAAAAAAGTTTAAAGTGGTTAGTAAAAGTTAAGTTTTAAGTTAAAAGGTTAAAAGTGGATTTTTGTGTTTTGATATGTACATTTCCTGAGACTGCCTCGTTGGTCGCAAGTGCGACTCAGCAAGGAGTCTCGCGTTCGATTCCCGGGTCGGGTAAAGTATTACTGTGTTTTTTTTTAATTCTCGGTAGTAGCACGCAGTCAGGAATTGTGCACGGCATATCGCAATAGGCTCACTTCTTATTACATGGGACTCATAACATAAATAGTGAAAAGTGGGTGTTACATTGTACAGTGGCATTAAGTGCCGTAATGTGCACCTTTGCCTACCCCTAAGGGGGTAAAAGGCGTGATGTTATGTTATGTTATTTCCCGAGGTAAAATCTATTTATACCTAACTATCTAATAATACTGGATTATTCAGCAACAAATTATTAAGAAATATGAAAATAAATAGAGACACGATTCAAATACAATCTAATAAATAAATGGATTACAATAATATTTAGTATGTAAAACTATATTGCATGTACACTTTTTGAATTTAAAAATTATAAAGTATATTTAAAAATCTTCAAAAGATCATAACTCCTATAACATAGAGGTACATGACAACAACCCATTTATGGAATTCAGCTATTAACTAAAAATAATGAGATGAAACATCTTCCAATACACAATATTCATTAGTTTTCGTGTTGTACTATAATTTAATTACAAAATTACTGACAAAAGGTTCTTGTAAAATAATTAAAACAACAATTAACTGGTGAACAAAAGATTTAACAGCTTCGCTTTGGCCAGACGATCGTTTATTAAGTTAGTAAACTTTTAACTGAATTAAACGTTACTTCTTATACTTAATTCAATTATAATGTTTGATTATATTTCAGGAGCTCGCAGCGAAGTGACTACCATTTAAACATGCCACTTTTGGTAAAACTATAGTTATAATTTCTTAAACAATGGCGTCGAATCTCCGCTGTTTTTGATTAAAGTTACTCACACTAAAAGTATAAACTGACACCATATTTTTAGCATTAATTGAGTACTTTCATTAGTAATAAATAAATTATTTCGACTGTTCAATACAATAACATAAAATATTAAAACATAATCACACTTTCATTAATTGATTTCATGACCAACTTAATTTTAGTATTTTTCCAGCAATTTTTAAAAAAATAAATATGCTGTTTGACGCTACAAAAACGTGACGGCACAATACATAATCTCGTACGAAATTCATAGAAAACTGTCGTTTTTAACAGTTCGAAAAAAGTATTGAATTTGACGAGTTGGCACGTACCTAATTATCTTCGTCTTGTCCATACAGTTGACAAATATGTCAAGAGTATCACGCATGGTGTCACGACTGTCATTGATTGTGTCAACATTATTACGCAACTTCCTCCAAATGTCACAGGTGTCGCATCATGATCTCCATCGCGTGCAACATGACAAACATGATGTCATCTGAGATCTCACCCTTATCGCCATCGCCATTAATATTTCCTATCAACAATATTAATCTATTATTTAGCTATTTTTATATCATTAAATAAATAAATCATGAGTCATTGTTCTAAAACTAGAATTATAGCCATGAAAATGTCATGAACACAAAAGTACGTTAAATTTATCAATGGGTAAGTCAGGCCAAGATATCAAATGTCGTAGGATTAAATAACCCTTAATTGGGCTGCTGGGAACGCCCCTTCGTTATCCTTCTGAAGGCCTTTTGGACCCTTCGACGGAAAACCTATTAAAGTCTCTGATTTCTATAGTGTTTTGTTTAGTTTAGGACAACTATTGTCCAAACTTAATTGCTTAGATCTCAGAACTCTGTTATAATTAGAGCTGGTAGTAAACTCGACAATTCAAAGTTATTTAAAACTGGTGAGAATACTTCATATTTTATTATTAAAACTATTTTTAGTTCGTTTGGACACAATACTCCAATCAAAGGATTTACTTTCTAAAACTTGAAACAAAGTACGAGTATGTATTATTCTTAACACATTAGACGCCGCAGGGGTCACCGGTGACGGTACGTTAGCGGAGAATTTGCCTTCATCAGTTTTCTATTGGCAGTCAAAGGCTAAGTAACTTTCTATTATTATGAAATCTTATTCTCTATCTTTCTCTTACATTATTTTTTTCAATTTGAACGATTTCATTAACAATAAACTTGTCAAAATTAACTAACGGACATTAGTTTACTGTTAGCCACAGTACGCATTTCTAAATTATCCTCTTTAGGCATCTTAATATCTACAAACTCCAGCTCAATATCTTGTAATGTCCTGTCTTTAGTTTCTGGTAAAATAAAATATAAAACACCGATACAAATTACTGCTATTACTGTGTACACTCCAAATGTTCCGTGAGCGTCCATCGCATCGAGCATTATTGAAGTAGATTTGATCAAAATCATGCTTGACAGAGCATAGAATATTCCTAAAACGCTTGTTCCTAATCCTTTGTATTCTATGGGAAGTAATTCTCCCTTCAACACCATAGAAACTGGTATAACACCTAAATAACACACTATGTTGTATAGAATCAACAGTAACGGAGTCAGCCAAGTTACAGTCAGAATACCTTTCTGTTGCCATAAATGAAACAAACAGACTAAACTCAGTAAAACGCATGCCACAATACTCGAATACAACAATAGATGGCGTCGTTTGTATATCCGCACAAAGTAACTCGTTGTCAGTACAGCTAAGATTTTCATCACATCCAGCCCTATCGTATAGTAGTACGCCTGCGACTTGTCACCCGTTAATGAGATCATTATTTGTACCACATAAGCTAACAGATAATGTCTGCCACACACTTGAGTCAAGATGATCAACATCAACACCACTGTGAAAGGTTTCAAAAACTCTTTAGACTTCATCGCTTGTAAGTTCCTAATCAAAGCTCCAGATTTCCTCAACTTTTTCATATTTCTCAATTCTTGCTGCGCGGTTATCATTTCTTTAAGTTCTTTTTGCGCTTCCATATCGTTTCCTCTAAGCCACTCGAACGATGTTACACATTCATCGAAGCGGCCCTTATAAGCCAACCATTGTGGACTTTCTGGCCACACCACAGTTCCTAGAGCAGCTAAAGCTGGTGGGGCAGATGCCAGCCAGGCCATCTGCCTCCAAGACAAGGAGAACCCAAATCCATGACAAATTAGTTCACCAATACCAGTCGCTGAAATCTTAAATATGATGAAGAATCCTCTTCGCTTCGGATGACTGTATTCTCCAGCTAAAATACTGCAGATGTAAAGCCCTCCAAAGGACAAACCTTGAATAGTTCTCCCTGCAATAATAGTTGGGACGTTGGGGGACAGGGCGATGATGACCCAGCCTATAAAGATGACCAGATTCATAACGACGTTGATGAATCTTCTGCCGTAGATCTGCATGAGTGGAGGGAGCAGAAGGAAGCCGACACCGCCTGTCATGCTGAAGGCCGCCGCTGTAAATAGGATACAAAGTTGCCCTTGGTTATAAGTGTAAAGTTATTTTCTTACCATTTTTATGTTGTAATCACTGTTCGTAAGATAAAAGTAAAACAATACATTAAAATAAATCATTACATTAATAATAAAGGAAATAAAGAGAAAATAAAATACTCAGAAAGTAATGTTCTCAGGTGTTTGATTGATTTAGATAAAAAGTCTCATTTCAAATATCTACTATCTACTAACTTTCCTCGTAAAATTATTTGATTTTGTATGCTACTCACCTATCCAAGAAGCTTCTCCTTTAGTGGCACGTACGTCAGTGTCGTTATTCGTATTACCAGCAGTAATGGCCGGTGTAAGGACCGCAGGGTATGACAGGACGAATCCAACCGCCAAATGATGCAAAATCATGGATATCATCACACACCACTGAAATTTTAAGAAAAACAGTAATTAGAAAGAGAGAGTAAAGAGATCATTTATTCACCACCTAAATAACACGACTTATTCACGATCGAATGTTCGCAAACGTGAATGTGAAATAATGGGCCTTGTGTTCTAATCCTGAGTCGGTAAAAGTTTTGACGGTGGCTTCGCCCGCGGTACCGTTATAAAAAAGTAGCCTATGTATTATTCGAGACCATAATCTATCCCTGTGCCAAATTTCATCCCAATCAAAGTCAAAGTCAAAGCATTTATTTCAACTAAACCATAATTTGGTAATTTTGAAACGTCAACAAATACAAAATAAATAATAATCTGTCAGTCAGTCCGTCAGTGAAGCTAAATTAAACTAGGTGCTCATTCCTAAATGTAGATTCGAATGGAGAAGAGAAGAGCAAGAAACTCCATTCGTTACTCTTTTTAAAATAAATTACGTTCTACAATGTCTCTGATACATATTCCAATATTGTACGTATATGTGAGAACAATGCAAAGACACGCTTGACGCATTATACAAATTACAAAACAAAAAAAAATATCTCTTCAGCCGTTTTGACGTGAAGGAGCAACAACCAAACAAACACATAAACTTTCACATTCATAATATTAGTAGTATTAATTACTAAGATAATCAAATCATCACATCATCAACAGCCTTTCAGTGGTGCGCTACTGACCTAAAGCCTCTTCTCACACGGACAAGGTTTGAGCATTAATCACCACACTTGCTCAATGCATTTTAAACTTATAATTAGAATTTTTAAGCCCAAGTTTCCTCCAGGTCTAAATAATCTTAAAATGCATAATCGAACCCCAATCCATAAATAATTGTGCGTATAGTAAAGAATCTTGCTGTTTCCTGAAGGGTATAACCTGGGTGTCTTCAAGGGCCGAGTGAATAGGCTACTTATGGGACGACTTGCTCCATCGTAGACCGCATCATCGTGCACCACCAGGCGAGGTATTGGTCAAACGTCGGCCCAAAAAATATAAAAAACATGAGAATAGAAAAACTCACTTCTCGAATTAAAGGTGCCACCATATTTAGTTTCTGAGTGGGACACGACCAAACAAACGTAATAGAAAAACTCGACTACTGTCACAACGAAACGAAACGATAAAAATTGTTATCTCTATTTGTTATTTATAACGTTTATGTCAATACTAACTGCTGCCCGTGGCTTCTCTTATGTACTTAATGAAATAAATAAATAGTAGTTGTCCTCATTAAGATATAAATATATGTAGAAATAAAAGCATTGGGAATCAAAGTAGTAAAATCCTCCAAAAATTTAATATTTTTTTTTATTATTCCTAATGACGTTTGGTCACCAACTATTTATCTTCTTTTTTTGTTATGGGGGAAGCCTTCAAAAGACGCCTAGCCTTTCGGGGAGGAAGACTAAGGAACCCTCATCACCTGTATGGAGGCACCGGGTCCTCTGAAGAGACCTGCTCCGGAGCCCCCACAGTGCAACGCCTGTTACAGCACATTCCTTGGGAGACGTGCATGTCCCTTGATCATCGCTTTGCACGGCAGCACGTGACCACTGTGCTACCGTCTTCCCTGAGGCCACTGGATGGGCACCAAGTATGGGGATTGTGATAAATCCTCTCTTAAGATTGTTCAGCAGTGGATATATCCGGTTATATATGGCTGATGATAAAATGGCGACAGGCTCACCTTCGTTTGTCATGGACACTAACGGGAGATTTGGGGATTGTAGAGGTAGACAAGAAAAGTCGAATACCTAGACTACAGTTCCGAACCTGGCGTATATAGCACCTATATGATATTATTCTACAGTAACAATAAATCTCGTGGACGTATAAAATAAAAAAACAAACAAAATATTGAAAGCTGTAGACATAATACAGAAACGAAAAATCCATTCATTAAGTCGGAAACGAGTCCATTGTGGCCCACAGTTTGGTCCCAGTGGATCAAAGTGAGCTTATATTGATACCTAATAATAATAAATAAAAAAAATAAAAATCGTTTATTTGTAAAAACATATTACGGAACCTATAAATTGTGATTGGAGCCTCCTTTTAAGCAAGATATGTCTGTGTTAGGAAACTCCGCTCTTTCACAACAAGACACACATAGTTAATTTCTATAAATACAAATACAAATGCAAATACAAACATTGTATTCTAATTTAAGGACTACGTTTGAGTTTAGTAAAAGTGTTAAGTTAAATTACGAAATTTAATATATCGGGTATATGATTTGTACTGTCTATTCTGTGTGTACGTACATAAATATTTGTGTGAAACATGTGCATGTATTGTACTATCAATAGTTTGTAGTAGGTGTCAATGTAGGTGTTGAAGAAGTGCCTCAGTCTCGTGGTAAGAGAGAGATTTTAACCATTCACTTAACATTTTTTTGGAATCATAATAAGTTCTTGAGTAAAAAAGTAAAACACTTGCTTATTTATTTTATTATACAACTGCGCAGACCGTTTACTAAATTGTGTACTAGCAGACACGGTCCTTGTCTGAGGGACCGTGACTATAGCGTCTTGCCTTCTTCTTGTTGGTTTGCTGGCATCGAAAACTGTAGATTTATGTTTTTTTAGAACAATTTGAAATATGTAAAGTTTCCTCACCGATAGCAAGTTACTAATTGTATATAAATCTTCAGTTGGGAATCTCTTTTTTTTTTAAGTACATACGCTTGATTAGAGCTCGTTGTGCACGCTCCAACTCTAAAAATTTAGTTTTCCCTGCACCACCCCATATAGGTATACAGTATAATAGCACTGACTGTACCAGTGCAACATAAACATCATTTAGCAGATTTTTTTGGCGGCCATCACTGCTACATATATTTTTAGGTACTACATGTCTCAGAGTACTGAAAATCCAACTAAACTTTCTGACTCTATTTACAACCTGTTCAAGGTGAGGGTGCCAACAAAGTCTCTGGTCCATTACAATACCTAAGTATTTGACGTATGGTACTTTGTTTACAATTGAACAGCTACAATTTGTATAAATCTCGTCATCGTCATAGGTATGGACTTTTATATTAAAGTCCTCAGTGGGTTGTGTTCTATTGCAGACACTGAAGCATATGTAATTTGTTTTTGAAACGTTCAGTGTAAGCAGATTCTTGCTCAGCCACCCAGCTATTTTAGATAAGCCAAGTTCAGTGCTTCGCTTGACGTCATGCCATGTCGCACCAGTGGAGACTACTGCAGTGTCATCGGCATACGAGAAGACACGTGCGCTTTTGAATTTTAGGTCACAAAGGTCATTCACGTAAATGAGGAATAACGTAGGGCCCAACACGCTTCCATGGGGAACACCATATGATACCTGTGCTTCCCCACTGACAAACTGTCCCACCCTAACACTTTGCTTCCTGTTCGAGAGATAATCGCTTAGCAGATTGAGAGGTGTACCTCGTATTCCAACACGTTCCAGCTTGTCCACAAGGATTGGGACAGAGACGGTGTCGAAAGCCTTCTTTAAATCGAGGAATGCAGTTAAACATTTTTTACCACTGTCAAGTTGTTCAGTAATTAATGTACTCAATGCAGTTACTGCATCTTCGGTGGAAATACCTTGATGGAAACCGTATTATGAGTCGGATAATATATTAAATTGGTTTAGGAATTTTAATAGTCTTACATTGATAAGCTTTTCTATTATTTTAGATATTGTCGGTAAAACAGATATGGGCCTGAAATTACTGACGTCGTCCCTGTCCCCACCCTTGTAGACTGGCGTAATGATGGCTTGTTTTAGTGAAGATGCCTTTATTGAAGCACAGATTAGCAATATGAGTTATTATGGGAACAACGTCATTCCCTACGTATTTTAGGAAACAGGAGGACACATTGTCCCATCCAGGGGCACTGTCAGACCTCAGATTCATAAGGATATAATTCACTTCATCCTCGTCAGTGTCCAACAGTACAAAGGAATTTGCTTGTGCTGTTGATGTGTTATAACATGTGTTGTGGCTATTATTTAGGTTAGACTGGATTTCATGAGCAAGGTTTTTCCCAATATTTGCGAAAAGGTCATTTATGTAGTTAACAGATAATAGAGGAGATTCTTTGATGTTTAGTAGTGGTGTGGAGGTGTCATTTATTTTGTTTGCATAGGTAACTGTTTTTATATTATTCCAAAGCAATTAATTGTTCCCTACTGATTTAATAATAAGTTCTTTTTCATATTTTCGTTTTAATTTTTTAATAATTTGGTCACAGTGGTTCCTATATCTAATATATATTAATTTTAAAATGTCATTGTGAATATCTTTTTTGCTATCTTTTTGTAGTTTATTACGGTTTCTAATGCAGCGCAGTAGACCTGGTGTAATCCATGGTTCCATGATTCGTTTACTGTTTGGTATATTTATAATAGTCGTGTTTCTTTTAATTGATTCTGTAAGTTTTTGTATTAAAATGTTAGTTAAATATTCAGGGTCACTATAAAAAAGCAAGTCTTTTATATTATTTTCCTGCAAATACTTGCGTGCTTGCACGTAATCAATTGTCGATTGTTTCCTTTTTAGCTATGTAGGTATTCTTTATTTTTGTTAGTGATAGAAGTTTTGTGTAATGATCTGTGATACTAGTGTGTAATATGGCAATAAAAGCAGATATTTTTTGTTTGTTTATTTTAAGCATAAAGTGTTCTAAACAGTTTTTATCTCTAGGAGGCAAATGTCCGGGTAATATTCCATGTAACGATAGCATGTTAAGGTAAGTCACTCGATTTTTGTGTTCATAGGACTGTTCTGTCTCCTTAGGCTTGATATTGATGTTTATATCGCCCGCAATGACTATATTCTTTTGTGAATTTATGTTTTCCAAATGGGAACTTAGGGAACTTATAAAAGTGTTCGCATTACAATTAGATGGGGATCTGTAAACACACAAGATGATGTTGTTGAGTAAGTCCCATTGTAAGCAAGACGCCTGGGATAACTTTATTTCCTTTACGTTAGATTCAATACTATTTTTAACATAAACAACAACCCCATCATTTTGGTTCAGTTGGTCAGTTCAAAATAATTGACACGTATTCCGTGAGTCACTTAAGGAGCCAGTACTAACGCATGGCCCTGTCTTGCACATGCTGAACTGGGTTCTTACCTACTCTTGAAACCAATCTCAATGTCAATGCAATTTCAATCCAATAAAATCTCAATAATGATTAAATGTCAAAACTATACAACTCCTACTGAAGCTGTTCAAATAACATTCAGAGTCTGGAATATAAAGCTAAACACAATACCATTGATTTCAATGAATATCCACACAATACGGATGCAATGGGCGCCAGTGTTGCAACTCAAGAGTATTTCACAATGTCAATGTCGATCGATCGGAATTGGATTCAAGAGTAAGCCCATTTCACCGCGGACTTGGGACATGAATATGTACCCATTAGTATTTATAAACTAATACTATAATCTGTCTGTACATGTCACCTGTTTTTAGCGTGTGACATAAAGTTGTGTCTTTCTTTCTAGTGTCTTTATTTTGTTTGGTTTGGGTTCGTCCATAAATGACGTGAGACGTTTAAGAGAGGGAGGGGTAGACTCAAATCTCATCTAATCTTACGTCGGAGAGAGGGAGTCTCGGCCAATATCACGCAAATAAAAAGAAATAAAATTATACTATTTTATGCAATGCAAATTTTTTATTGCAACTCATAATCGGTTATTTCTAATAACTACAACCTCTATTTCTAAATAATTTCTCATAAACATTTTTACATAATAGATCTGAAAGCAGTATAGGCTGAATAAGTGACTCTCATGGCTCCCATCAAACACCTAAAGCTCATCTTGGTCATACCACCAGCAGAAATAGAGGGCGTCTTCTGAGAAATCTGCAGCATTAGCAATATCATCTTCATATTCTTATGATCAAAGTTCTCCCACTGACAATCATAAACCGCCCATTCAAATACTTCTCCAGCATCCATGATCCTCTGTCCAATAAAGCAATCAGTTCCAACCTGCATAAAAACAAAGGGCATCTGCAAAAACGTGTTCTCCAATCCTCCTAAGAGTTCTGATATTAAACCGAGAAGAAGGAACGTTAATCCAACGGCTGTAGGTCCACTGCACACATCCTCAACTTGGTTTATCAGAGTCTTGATTGTCGCATGTCGTTTTATAATGTACTTCAGGTTTTTAAACACATGTTCGTTCATTATCATTTTCTTTGAATCAACGTCTTGAAGATCGGTTCCAAAGTTTAAATTTTCGAAATGTTTCTCCGCATCTTTCCATACGTGGGTAACTTCGTCACTGAGGGAGCGCATTTGAGACTCAGCGTAACCGATGATGACTATAAAGTAGGCGCTGACATTGGCTGATATGTAGCATATAGTGGCAACACTGGCCGCCATCATGAACCATGCTATCTCGTAGTTTGGTGACTCGAACATTGGTTCTAAACCTGCAAGATAAACTGAGATGTATAACATAATGGCAATAACTAATTCAGAGAAATATACCAAGATGTGACTTAAAGTGGATGGAATAATTATGATCAGAATTACATTCTTAAAAAAGGAGTTTTTTAAGAATATGAATGTGATTTCAAAATAAAATTTATTAACAAAAAATACCATAAATCACAAGCATATCTTCAGTCAAGTGTCTGCCGGGGCGGAACATGGGCATGGTGACGTAGAGACACCCGTTACCCATGAGCACTGCCCAATAAAAGATGGCTCGCTTCTTCACATCGCGCAAGTACCTCAGCAGGTTCATGTACATCCTGCTGCCTGGCACCATGTGAGAGTCAAAGTCCATGAACGCATCAGTGAGATTCCTAATGTCTTTACTGGAAATGGAAAAATACATAATACTATGGGAGTATAGAGTGATATTTAAGGTGAAGATGATAATGCCATAGATATTAATATGGCAGATGAAGGTGCAGCGTCAGTGTCACAATTTCCAAGTCCAACCTATTAATTTCAAACATAAAAGATTACAAAAATATTGATATGAGCACTGTATAATGTTGTTAGGTTAACGTGGTAGATAAAGACGATGTCGACGAATGACGACATGACGGATCTTTATTACTTAGATGAAAAGTTGGTATTGGAGTCAGAACTGCTTCCTACTGACGCCGATAATCATGTGCTGAATTCAGACTAAGAGGAGACCCAAGATGGAAGAAAATACGCCTGAAAATGGCAGGCACAAGTAAACTTACATATACAAAAACATGTACAGCAACTTCAGGGTACCGATCTCGCTGGAGATCCCCAAGGAGAGAACCACCATGGCCGCAACCAGGTCTCCTGTCTCCCAACTCCTCACGAATACGAACCACACCATGCAGATCAGGTAGACATACAAGTAGCACAGAGCTGCCACTACTACCACTATGTAGAAGATAAATGGGATACCTGGAGGGAGTAATTAGAAGTTCTTATTCAGATATCATCATCAGAACACGCGCTGTTAAGAAATGGGCTCGGTCTTGAGAGGGGATTAATTACTGTAACATATCCAGTGAGCAAGGGGATTTTCGATTTCATGGATGAAATAGTCATGTAGATGAAATTGTCTATGATGATGATAAAGTTATTTATGAACTAAATCCTCCCATATGAATGAGTGTAATAATTATAACTTCTAATATTGGACACTCTAAACCTTTATATTTTTAGTACTTCTGTATAGTATATTGTGTTACCTGTCTTCTTCTTGCCATACACATTCAGTGTGAGAACCTTCAAGAAGACGGCTACATTCCATATCATAGACGGCAGGTCGCAGTACTCCAACCCGAACTTCCGTATTTTATTCCACATCTTTGGGGTCTGCGGATATATAGATACGAATCTAGTAGAATAGTTACCTAATAGTTTGTAACTGACGCGCGGAATAACTATTTGTGTGATCCACAGATTGTTGTTCCGGGTCTTGGTGTCAGGTGTATGTGAACTTGTATATTTGTAAACGCACCCACGACACAGGAGAAAATTCTGGTGTGGGACAACGTTTTTTATAAAAAAAATATAATTTTCCCCAATTTAGTCCTATAAGATACTGAAAAATGTATGCCAGAAGGTTTAGGTGCTTCTGCATTTTCTCTTTTGCAGGGAAAGTTCTTAAGCAACTAATTACACAAAAATATCCTCATTGAAAAATCAATTTCACCAAAAATTAGGCAATTTTTCTCAATAACGATTTTAACTCCAATATTTCAAAAATATTAAATTCAAGTTTTAAATAATATGACGCCTCAGAGAGACTAATTTACTTCTACCTCGAAGCGACTAATTTCTCCCAAAAACCGCTAACAGTATGACTCAGTATTCCAACTAATCCTTGAAAATACAGTTTCAGTGTTTCAGGGTAAGCAATTAAATTATTAGAGTCCTAAGTGCCATGTAAATAAACAATTAACACTGCGACATGTCAAATTACAGTTCGTTGCTACTTCATACAAAGGAATAATTATTAAGTTTACTGTTAATTGTAACATTTCATTTTTTTTTAATCTTGATATACTTTGTAAAATTATATTTTGGACTATGTACCTGCGTTATGATATAAGATCACGTTTTAATATTTCTTATTTTTAGCATTGTAATCATCAATTCTAGTTCATTATTAATTGTAATATTTTGGACTATTCTTCTTCACATTTCATCTACATTGTAATTTAGATTCAAATACAATATTTTGCATGCCGAAAGGTAAAATGTATTGGTTCTATCGACTACACTTTTTTTTATTTAGATTTATTTAGGGTTTTTGGTTAAAATTAACATACATTGTTCCTTATAACTATTAACACATAGTACTTATCCTAGTTGTTTATAAATAATTACGAGGGTCGGTGCTGGGTCTGCGGTACTAGCAAGTAAAACGCTTGTGCTATTTCTGATGCAGGCTCACTTAAAACACTCTGTATGATACCTACGTTCATCTTTGCAATGCCATACTTTCTCAGCAACGACTCCCGTTCCACCTTATTCCGGACACATTCCATCAGCAAATGTTGCACATCCTCAATCTTTCCACAAGTCGGACAATTCGGTGTGTCAGCATCGACTATACTTGTAGACTAAGTTGTAAAGACATGTTGGGTTGTAGTGTAGTTATCAAATATATATAATGTAATAAAAAATAAATAAATAAAAAAAGTTAAAATAATGTACCTAGTATAATCAAATAAATGATTTCTTTCTTTAGTTGTAAAACTATTTGTTTAACTTATTTAGGTTGTAAAACTAAAAGTGTAGCAGTACCTATCTACTGATAATTTCACCAGTTAAACTTATGCCGAGTTGTTCAATTCCATTTTGAAGTTAAACTGGAACACAACACAGATTATAATATTCTTAAAGTTACGTTATTTATACTAAGATAATACTAAAAGGTAAATAAGGTAACATAATGGTTTTTAAGCAACACAAGGGTTTTTCTTTAAAAAAAAGCAGTTTAATAGATGATACTAGACAAATATGCGATCATTTTTAACGATGTTGCATAATAAAGTACCGTCTATATATTATCTCCTGTGTTGTACCGGTTTTTACGAGCACAAACCATGCACAATGAACACTTCGAGACATCATGGAACGACAGTTTTGGGATCACACAAATAGAGTAAAATTGTTCTCTGAGAAAATCAAGCTGATGATACTTTGTGTAACTGCCCACCACAGCTTCTGTACCGATGCTGTTAAAATCACGCTTAATTTTATTTTAATGCTAGCTTCTGCCAGCCCCTACAATTACAGCGTAAAGTCCACTGCGGGCCAAAAAACATTCACCAAACTTATATTTGCATTTGGTACAGTAACTGTGTCTAGGGATTGAGCCGCACAATTAAGTTTGTTTTTTCGTGTATATACTTTTTCGGAATAAAAAGTACCCAGTATTATGCCCAGGATATTAAAGTATAATCATACCAAGTTTCATCGTAATCGGCCCGGTAGTTTTTGCGTGATGCGTGAACATACAGACAAACAGACAGACAAAATTTTTTTCGCATAATTGGTGTTGGTGTCTATCTAGTAGGTAACACCCCCTACTATTTATTTTTTTAATGTTAGCAATGTACAGAATTTACACTAGTACAGTTTTATTATATGTATAGATTTTTTTGTATGAAGTTTCATCAATACGTTTATTTGTTTCTACCACCATCCGTTGTTGTAATTATGTCGTCAGCACAGTAAGAGGTGTCAGAATTTATTGGGGCAGCTGTTTCATGATGAACTTTCCCAATGCAAGTAATTATAGGGTTGGTTGATACAATGGTATTGTATGGTTATTATGGGTACCGTGGTGAAATGTAAAATTCATTTATGATAGGTCTATTTGTGTTTTGGGCGTCTATAGTTCATGACTATTACGGAATCCTTCTCTATATCTATACTTTCTTCTTATTCTATAACCACTTCTTGCTTGTCATATGTCGAAATACTCAAATATTCGATTTTAAACTGTCAAATACCAAGCGGTCACCGGTGACCGCAACCTATTGTTCTATAATTGTGTCTACAAAACCGGTACTCGACGAGTTAAGCCGCGCTTAAGTAAGTTCTGTCACTATAAATTCTTTGTATAATGACAGAACATAACATAACATCACGCCTTTTTATCCCCATATGCAGAGGTGCACATTACGGCACTTAACGCCACTGTACAACGTAACACCCACTTTTCACTATTTATGTTATGAGTCCCATGTTGGGTGGGTGAGCCTATTGCCATATACCGGGCACATTTCCAGACTCTGTGCTACTACTGAGATTTTTAAAAACCCAGTAATTCTTTGCCCGAACCGGGACTTGAACCCGAGACCCCTTGCCTGGCAATAGCACTTACGACCACTCGGCCAACGAGGCAGTCAGTAACATGACAGAGATGGCACGATATTTAAGTAAAACTTAAGCGTAAGGGATTTATTTGACTCTGGTCTGCGGATAACTTAACAAGTTGCCGAAGGTTGATTTTAGTCAGTAAATCTCCCTCACTCGAGGCGGGAGAAGTCATTGGATGATTTTCCCCCCTCAAAAAAGGTGTCTTGTAACGCCTGCGTGTTTCAAGTGTCCGTGGGTGGCGCCGATTGCTTACCATCAAGTGATCCGACTGCTCGTTTACCGGCTTATGCCATAAAAAATCGATTTATTTGACTGGGATTAAAAATTAATTTGCTAATTTTTTAAGTTTATATTAAAGTTTAAATGTTTTAGTTTTCAGTTATTTGTTTTTATAATATGTAATCATAGAAATATAAATTATTAATTTGCTAATTGCTTAATGAAATTGCTTAATACAATGAGTATCATAATTATCATGTACTGTCTTTTACAGTCCACTGTGGCCTTCATCTATCTAAAGAGAGAGTCTCATCACCCAATATGATACCCGATGAAGTAGCAGTGATGATGACAATTGTATTTGAATCTGCCGTCGTTGGCTTAAAGATCTTCTTTTAAAGTTCAGACAATAACATAATATGATTAAAGTCGAACATGCTAAACCAAATATATTTAACAAATACACTAAGTAAATCGAAATCGAGCAAATACTCGCGTGTATTCCGATTAATGCAATGTTTGTATCGTATCGTACCGACGTTCCGATTGTTTGCGCAATCGATTCAAAAGTTATTAGGATTTAGCTGCAGTACTGATGCCAGCAAAACATATTGTTGTGTAATTTGTGGGATTACATTATCCTTTCCATGTATGTGGTAATTTGTATTTTAATTATGGATAGGGTTAGTTTACCAGATAAAAACTTGAAATATCATTCAATTCAGTGTTATGTAATATACCTACAAATGTAGTGTCAAAGGTCTTTAGAAAAAGAAATAAAAAATCCATATTAAACATGATAAACTACATTATTATTTTACTAACAACTGACTCTTAGAACTAAATCTGCATCTAAAAGATGAAGAGAAATGACATCTATCAATGCTATTTTCTGTTCCCATAATTATGGTCTTTTCGACGGTCTCTCTCCTTACTTCATAGTAGACCTTAGAGCCGTGTACGCGGAATAAATGCCTCTGAAGACGGACATCAACGCACTGAAGCTGAGGGTCCTGACGCCCCCAGCAGACAGGGTCATGGTCTTCTGGGCATTCTGTAGCATCACCAGCACCAGCTTCATATTGGATTTGTCAAAGTTTTCCCACTTACAGTCGTACACTGATGCCTCGAACATTGTGCTTGCATCCATCACTCGCTGTCCAGCGAAACAGTCCATTGATACCTAAAGGAAATTAGGAAGGTGGTTTTGACCTCAATAGTTTAAACGTATCGGCGTATATGGTCTAGTTTAGACGTTAGTAAAACATTAAAACAGTACAGTTTTACTACCCTGTGACTGCCCAGTTGGCCGAGTTGGTCGCAAGTGCGGCTGCCAGATAGATGTCTCGGTTTCGATTCCCGGGCTGGGCAAAGGATTACCGGGTTTAAAAAAAAACTCAAAAACGCACGGAGTCTGCAACTGCGCCCGACATATGGCAATAGGCTCACCTCTATTACATGGGACACATAACATAAATTGAGAAAAGTAGGTGTTACATTGTACAGTGGCATTTAAGTGCCATAATGTGCACTTCTGCCTCGTCCGTCGGGAATGAAAGGCGTGGTGTTATGTTATGTCAGTACTGTTAATAGGTGAAAACATACTATAAAAAATTGGTATTCTTCTTTTTCCTTAAGTTTAATTTTACCAATTAAGTCAACCCTCTTGAAAAATAATTCCTTACCTAATCTTCTTTGCTAAACCAACTAAATAAGACAATCATGGAAAGGTATCATAAAACCAACCTGCATCAATGCAAAGGGTAGCTGCAAAAATGTATTCTCCAACTTTCCAAGTAGCTCTGACAGCAACCCAAGAACTAGCAACACGAAGCCAATAGCAATCGCTTGTCTAAAAACTATCTCCACTTGATTCAACAAATTAATGACATTTGCATGTCGACCAATGATCTCTCGGAGTCGTCGCTCCACAAACTGATTTATTATAACCTTCACTTCAGGATTGTACACGTCCAATTCTTCGGATGTGTCTTCTGTTTGGGTTTTAGCATATTGTATAGCATCTGACCATAACTCCAGCATTTCCTCGCTCAAAGCCAGCATCTGAGCCTCAGCGTAGCCAGTAATGACGATTAGAAAAGCTGTCACGCTGGCAGGAACGTAGCAAACGAAGAATACTGAAGCAATCATCATGAAGTACGCGATCTGGTAGTTTGGCGTCTCAAGCATTGGTTCTAACCCTGTGAATGGACAAATTGTGACGGTATAACATGAGCACACACTTTTAGATTAGGGAAATTTATCTTTGGCATTCTTCGAATACATTGTACTTAAAGAAAGTTCTAGTTTCACATCCCTTGCTAAGTTGCTATTACTATGAAAGTCCAAAATATGCAAAATCAATGACACTTTTGTATATCGAACTTTAGAAATTTTTGCATTCGAATCAGCAACCAACCGCTAATCGGATATTTAAAATCCTCACAAACTGTATCAGTTATAGCATAAATAGAATGCCGTTCAAAAATTACCATAAATCAGGAAATAGTTCTCCGGCAAGTTCCTGCCTCGCATGGCGACTGGCTTCATCACATACAACACTCCGTTCCCAGCCACCACCACCCAGTACAGCATGGCGCGCTTTTTCACGTTCCTCAAACACTTCATCAGGTTCGAGTGGAATCTGGTGCCTTTGATCGTGTTGGCGTCACATTCTAGGAAGCCATCTGCTATTTTATGAGTTTTGTCCCTGGGAACAGTATATGTTGGAGAAACAGTTTAGATCTGATTCTAATCTTTGTCATAATATGCCTTAAATAGTATTCAAAAGACTAATGCTTTGTAGATTAATGACTGCCTCGTTGGTCGAGTGGTCGTAAGTGCCGAGCAAGGGGTCTCGGGTTCGATTCCTGGGTCGGGCAAAGTATTACTGGGTTTTTAAATATTCTCAGTAGTAGCACGAAGTCTGGAATTGTGGTATATGGCAATAGGCTCACCCCCTATTACATGGAACTCACAACATAAATAGTGAAAAGTGGGTGTTACATTATACAGTGGTTTAATGTGCACCTCTGCCTACCCCTTCGGGGATAAAAGGCGTGATGTTATGTTTATGTAATGCTTTGTCTGATCCTGAAATCCTGTCATTAACATATAAACAAAGTAATGATGACGACACATCATCTTCCAGCATGACTACAATAATAAAATTCCACACAATAAAAAAACATACATATAATAGCACATATAAAACAGTTTGAAGGGTCCAATTTCGCTGGAGATGCCAAGAGATAAGACAACCATGGCTCCGACCAGCTCTCCTGTGATTCTGGCCCGCCAGAAGACGAACCAGGTCATGGAGAAGAGGAACACGTAGTAAAAGCAGGCGGCAGTGACTGCTGTCACGATGTAGGACAAAATCGTGATGCCTGGGAAGAAGAAATTAAGTTTGATTGTTAGAAAATTCTAAAAACTAAAAAACTATCTAACCGGATTAGAAGTATGTAGTGGGTGTATATTACAAGATGTGATGACTTATGAGAATAGAAAAGAAGATATTGTGGATATTGGACCAATCCCAGTCTGAGCTTGCCGAAGGTACAAGAAGAGGAGGACTTGAAACTAGTGATAAACTGTCATTTGACATCAAAATTAAAATGAATCGAATAGATTCTTCATACCAATCTTCTATACCAGATCTTTCAATCTATTTCTCCGCCTTCCTCCATCTCCTGCGAACTTACCCTTCTTATATTTACTGTCAATATTAACAGTTAGAACCCTCAGGAGTATGGAGACGTTTTCCAGCATCGTCGGCAGGTCACAGTACTCCAATCCAAACTTACGAATCTCATGTATAATTTCATGAAAGGTCAACATAATTAGGTTTTGCTATCAACCGCGTTTTGGACCCTAGAACTCAAAAATACAAAGAAATGAGCCTTTTAAAAGCGGCTAGGTGTTTCTCGCTTTATATACCCTTCTTTTCTTGTTAAAATAAGGCCTTTTTTACATATTTTGATACTAAACACTGTAATCATATCTTCAGCTGAAAGGGATAACTGCTCGCACCTGACGACTGACACATTTTTCCAAATGGATCATATATAAGTACTATTTGCTGTCTTTTTGTATCTACCTCGTTTCTTTGTTTAACGTTGACCAAGAAATTGTTTTATTCGAGATAAAATAAAATATTTTCTGTGAACCATGTGGGGATTGAAAGTACGGGAGAGCCTTGCTTTGGCGTGATTGGCCGGCTCGACCGGAATGATACTACGACCGAGCAGAACACTGACGATAAATTATGCTTGCATTATATGTTACCGGAGGCCCAATTAGAGATTGGGGAGATTGGAGAATGAGGGGGGGCTACCCTCATTCTCCAATCTTCCCATCAGACGAAAAAAACTAAATATGTCCTAATAAATTCCCAATACATGTGCACCTTCAATAAAATAATATCGTTGCACACACACGAGTTGAGTTCTATAGAGGTGTCAATACGTGTTTACGTGTGTGTGACATGTGACACACTATCATTACATGGTAAATACTAATGGAGAATCGATAGGGTTCCGTAGACATACCTAGCACTAATGTAGTGTCTAACCTAATATGAAATATTTTATTTTTCCAAAAGAATACAGCATTATGTTAAACTAGCTACGCCCTTGTGCTTTCACCCACTCTACTCGACTCTTATTGGTCGTAGCGTGATGGTTTATAGTCTATTATAGTCTTTCTCGATAAATAAACTATCCATAATAAAAATA